TAGCTTGAGGCGCAACGAGCAGCCAATTTCCAGCTGGGGGAGCACCTACCATCTGGGAGATTCTCGGGGGGCAGATCATTCAAGGTCCGCAGGAATGCGACCGCTTGCTGCTCGTAAAACTGGAAGACAGCATGGCTGGTGGAGGGATCGACGAATTCAGCACCCTCGGAGAACTCGCGCACGACAGCGTCAGTGGCCCACAGGAAGCATCCTTCTCGTGATGCCTCGAATCCGCTTGCAAGACTCTGCGCTAGCGTGGGTAGGAGCGGAGTCATAGCCGTGCGGTAGGAAATAATCATGTTTCTCCAGCAACGGCAGACGCGCTCTAAAATCGGCGTGGACGAGGTAAAGTTCATCACGATTGTCGTCATGATTGGCAAGATTTCGCCGCAATACTTGACTGCGGGGTTCTCTTCCCGGGGTGAGACGTATGGGTTCACGACCAGGATGAAGATCGTAATCAACTGAAGGTGATCTACCATGCAGTTAGTATGCAGAGTGCCTTTTAATTTTGAAGTATACCTACCAGCAACAGCCCGCTGGCCCTCTTCATCCTTAGCGTTGTTCGCTAAGTTCATGATGCGTGCCATAATGGGGTCACAGAACAACTTCATCGTCTCGTAGATCTTCTCCAGTGGCTGCACTGCAACCACAGCCGCGACACCCTCGGTTATCTCTTCCTGACTGGCCGGTTTCAGCTTGTCAAGGACCGACTCGTAAAACGAGTGTAGTTGGGCAATGTGACCTCCAAGCAACTTCTGGCAGTCCGTGCCCAAGAACTTGAATGCCAAGGCTGCAGCCTGAACCACCTCCGGAGAGCTGTGCTGGAAGCCGGAAATGACATAGTTTAGTTGCGCCTCCAATGTCTCGGGATGCTGTGCAGTCCACTCGGTGTAACGCGCTAACGCCATGATGGCCTGGAATCGCACTTTTTCTTGGTTCGGAATCTGCACGATGAGGGGAATGACCTGTGTCAGGACAACATTCTCCTCAGGGTCGACCATACGGCCCATGGCGCGCAAACTAAACAGGGGCGCTTCAAGCTCTTGCCAGTTGGGAACATGGTCGTCGCTGGACTGAGAGGCATATTTGGAGACCCATTGTTGGATCAGCTGATAAGCCTTGGTCAAGCACTCATTGACCCCAATGACCGCACAGCAATCCTTGAGCACATCTCCCATAGCGTGCCGGAAATGCCGAAATTTCTCTTCCTGCTCCCGATCGCCACCGAAAAGGTCCGTCTCACCCTCCTCCGGCCGCGGGTACTCGAGGTGCTTGACCATGATGTCCACGAGGCTAGAGAAGATATCACTAAAGCCAGTCCGTGCATCCGCATATCGCTCCAAAGTAACATATTGCTTCAACTCGTACCAGAAGACGAAAGTAAGGGAAATCGCGTCCCGCTCCCAGTCACGAGCGCAACATTCTAGGACCGCTTCGACCAGCCCGCGGAAGTCAGTCGGCAGGCGTGCCATCAGAACCACCCAGGCCTCGCCAGCTTCAGCAAACAGCCTCGTGATACCCCTGTAAGCATCTGTGTCTTCCGCTTCGGCGAATTCGGCAATCTTCGGGCGCAGGGACATTAATCGCGGATACAGGGCCTGGATGATGGGCAGTGAATCATCGACCTCCCGAGTGTCTCTATACAAGGTGCACATGCTATCGACCGCAGACTCGAATGATCGGTCGTCATCAAGAGCCTTGAGAATCACATCCATTAAGGGTGAGTCAACAATCTTCGACGCCGGGATCTCGCGCATCCATGAGGTGATACAGTCGAGGAGACGGGGGTTAGTAGACGCAGTAGCTAAACCAGAAATATAATCAGCATATCAACATATTATGAAGCTGACTCGACGGCTGGGCACGTACGGGATGACTGAGCATATTGAATCAGAAGGTGCATGACCTGTTCGGCGTTGTCTTCCAACAGTTCTTTCGTCCTGGAATCAAGGTCCTCTTCCTAAGTCAAGCCAGCAGGTTAGAGTCTCGTTTGTCGCGGTATAAAAGGTCGTCGCCTATCGCGTAGGAACGGATTGTAAACAGGTGAGGTGTTGATGCCGCCGAACATACACTGAGATTGATTTTACGACCCTCGGTCACTTCTTCCGGGAGAATCTTGAGAAACTCCAACACACAATCCCCCGCGCTGCTACCCAGAGCCGCGCCAACTGTGGGTAGGACGTCCTTCCAGTCCAGCATTTGGATGGCCAGGCTCGCCAGACAGACGCAAAGCTGTGTCTGGATCGGCCGAGGGCCTGCAGCATAGGCCACAAGCAGGTTCATAACGGAGTCTCGGAGGGCGAGTATCGATTCCGCGGGTAGCTGGTCAAGGTCGAAGATAATCTGGGACGGTCAGTACGGGATGCCAGTACCGCGTCATGTAGGTGATGGGATCGCTTCACCTTTCCTTTCAACGTGGTCGCTGCGAACAACTTGGCCTCGACAGGGACATCGGGGGATTGTAGCATTTCGTGGGTAATAGTCCATGCTTCAATCTAGATAGAAGCCGAATCATGATTAGCATGCAATGTCATGGGCGGCGTGGAACAATCGGCCCTGGGGAGGAAGAATGAGGGGTAGGGATGAACGGACTGATTTCTGGAACTTCTCCAGGAACTCATGGGCGTGTTCTTTCTCCGATCGCGAGACATTTCCTGACATAGTCGTGACTGCCGCGAGGACAGCACCAAAGGACTGCCCTGCGGTCCCCTCCTTGCTGGCCATCTTGGACGAGGAGTGGGATGTTTTGGGATTGTTCGAGTTGGGAATGGGAGAAGAGGGGTTCAGCCAGGCCGGGAGGCTCAACACCTATGCAGTGCGATCATGAACAGTCATTAAACAAACATTAAAGAACAAGCCACCTCGATGGAATCAGCGCTAAAACCTTCAGCACAGTGGCGGAGAGAGGGATCGGGGGGTAAGTGACTGGTTAGTGGAGGTGGGATGTGGTGACGATCGACCCAAAGGGAAAAGTTGGTGAGCCGCAATCGTCCCCGAGGCGGCAAGAACGATGGAAGCTTGCTTCACCACCTTCCCGATCTTTCTCGACCTTCTCTCTCAGCACCACCCGCCTAACAACCACCACCACGCGTCGTTTTCTCGATCAACCGAACGGCATTCCCGTCTGTTGTCTCCTGTCGCTGCCTTCGCCTCTTGATACCCTACACATTCCTTCCATCCACCCATCACAATGACCGGTCGTGGAGGCGGTGGAGCCGCTCGCAAGACCCTGCTTGCGCCGATTCATTTCATCTTCAAGCTTCTCCAGCAACGGTCTACAGTCTCTATCTGGCTTTACGAGCAGCTTGCTTTCCGCATAGAGGGAAAGATCAGGGTAAATAGATTCTGGCGACATGTTTGCGTGGGATTTGACTAATCGACTCGTGTAGGGTTTTGACGAGTTCATGAACCTTGTCATTGACGATGCAGTGGAGGTTCGCATGGCTACAAAGTCCGAGGAAGAGAAGCGGAGACCTCTAGGTATGCGGCAGTTTAGCTTTTGTGTTCTCCCCTTTGGTGCTGCAATGCTGATAACAATCTTGAACAACCTAGGCCAAATACTGCTCAAGGGCGACAACGTGTCTCTTATTCAGGCCGTGCAGTGAATTTAACGGGGCGTTTAAGGATTTCGGAAGCCAGGAAAGGGAAAATTAATCATTCATCTCCGACTTCGTGCCGTGATACGATATCGTTTGCATTTTCTAAACACTTTTTTACGGGTTCTCGCTGGAGTACAATTATCTGCACATTATTGTCGCATTAGATGAAAACATGGACATGAAAGGGCTTGCTTCTTTTCTGGATATCCTATCAGCGTTGGCGCACGAGGCACCGGTCATCGCCGACCATGAGGACGTCTACTAGCCAGTCGTGATCCGCAACCGGGATCTTTTCGGTCGGAGCCAGCACTTGTTCTTTGAGAGCCAGCGCGACTATACGAGGGGTTAGTGACGGAATATGCTCGGGTTGACCGCTGTCATCTGGAACAATTATTATGCCTTACCTAGTAGAGGCAGCTTCGGTGCCGTTGTTGTGCTCTCGGGACCTTTGGAGTACCTTGTCAGGAAATGATCATAGTAACCTTTGCCATGGCCCAATCTTCTGAATCCCTCATCGAACGCCATTCCTGGCATGACAATCAAATCCAACCCGTACGGTCCCTGCGTAGAATCTTCGGGCTGGGGTGAGACTCCCTTGCCCCCAAAGCAGTTCCTCTTGTTAAGCACACTTGCTTGCGACAGCGATGGAATTCCCCACTTGTCCGGCTCGAGCGATCTGAATTCATCCATCGACTCTAGCAGCAACATATCCATGACTGATGTCTTTGGCTGTGACGACAACTCGAGATTGTGTATGTAAGGCACGAAGACTTCTTTGCCATTGGCCAGGGCATCCTGCACTATCGCAGTTGTAGAGAGTTCACCGGCTGGCATGGACAGATAGACCCCGATCCTCTTCGCATCCCGATATTCCTGGAGAGAGAGGAGTTGGTTCGTAGCGATTCTGGCTGTGGGAGGTCAGCACATGCCGCGACCATATTGGGCAGAAGCGAATCGAGATCCCTGACATTGATTGGCAATGGAATCGGCGGGGATCTGCTGGAGAGCATCCCGCATCCTCCGGCGAAGGTCCCTCTTTGCGACTTGCAACCCAGCCATCATCTTGGTCCTTGCTTGCACGATGAGAACGCGGTGTACGCAGACCAGCGACCACTGTTTGTCTACGCGGTCTGCCCAAGGTGCTTCACCAGGTTAGTCTGGTAGTAGCCGAAGCGGGCGTGGCTTGGCAGGCGAACATGCTTCGGCGGATGATTTGCATGGCGGTTCATTTGTTTGATCGGCAGGGCCAGTGGCACGCACCGGGGGGAGCTCTTGTGTACTCCACCCTTCAAGGGCCGCCTGCGTTGCGCCTTTCGACGCATTCCTCTCGCTCTCTACCATCTGTCTCTCCCTTTCTTCTGTATTGAATCAATCTCTTCTCGTGGGTATGATCACAACATGATGGCAACGTGCTTCTTATTTGGCCTTCTATTAACCGCTGTTGGGGCCAGCAGCCACAGCGCATCGGATCTAGAAGGAACATGGACAACCAAGTCCCGCCAAGTTGTGACAGGTCCGGTATGTTTTGCGCCGTGTTGATTGTTTACCACTTTCGATGGGCCAGTTCTACCTGTACGCTAACCGTTTAACGTTCGATGTTTACAGGGCTTCTACGATCCGGTTAATGATAAATTCCTCGAACCCAACCTCACTGGTATCTCGTACTCATTCAACGCCGATGGACATTATGAAGAAGCCTACTATCGTGCCATTGCCAACCGTTAGTCCCAGAATCCTCAGAACTATGAAATCGCGTGCATTTCCCCGATTCTGACGTGTCATGATCAATAAATAGCCCAGGATCCTTCCTGCCCAAAGGGGATTATGCAATGGCAGCACGGTACCTATACCGTAAACAGTGATGGATCGGTGGACCTGACCCCGATCGCTGTCGATGGACGCCAGCTCTTATCAGATCCCTGTCAGTCCTCTACGGGGACCTATACCAGATACAACCAAACTGAGCATTTTGAGGTACTTGGGTTCTCTCCATTAACTACGTGATAGCTACTGACAGGTATAGTCGTTTTCGGTTTCGGTAGACTCTTACCATGGTGTCCAACGCCTGGACGTCAAGAACTTCGACGGATCGCCGATGCATCCAATGTATCTTATATACAAGCCGCCCCAGATGTTACCCACGCAGACGCTCAATCCAACCTCCAGCAAGAGGAAACGCCAGGTCGAGGGGGATACTGGAAATCGCTTCAGCATAAAGAACTTGGTCAGCAGGGAGAAAGTTGGTGACCCAAATAATTGGCTGTGGCTCGGTATATTCATGACCACACTCGGAGGGATCACTTTACTTCGCTCTTAGATGACCGCGAAACTTGCGCGTTACCACCGAGAAAGTACGATGGACGGCTGGATATGAATGGATATGGAGTTCGGAACATTACTGGGAGGGCAAACGGGAATGGATAAATAAGGTCGGTAATTCTTGGGATGGCATACAACCTGGCGCTGGGAACTTTCATCTTTCTGTTTTGGCACAGCACGCCTACATGACCTATGGCATGAAGGCACGCGAGGTCTGCTTGTTTTTACTATGCAACTTTATGGCGACCCGAAATCCCGCCTAATGAACAATTCTTCCTTCGTATGCATTTCATTGAGAGGGGAACCAGGCAACTGGTCTAGGTATGCGTATTATACAAGTAGTTATTATACATTTTCTCGTGTCAGCCCTTACGCGGAAGAAACCGCTTCTTTGGCAATTCTTGCAACTTCGGATCTCTCGGCGGGCTTGCCATCCAGGGCTCCTCCAGGGGAAAAGAGAGACTTGAGTAGGAATCCAACCTCGATCTTCTTGCCCGTCTCCTTCAACTTGGCAAGTTCCTCAGCAACGATCGTCTTGATATCGTCCACGCTCATGGTCTTCACCTGAGCGCCATATTCTTCCAATATCGCAATGTGACGATCCTCAGTTTCCTTCAAGTCGGGGCGATTCTCAGACTCGAATTCCTTAGCAGCATCCTTCGAAGCAGAAATGCGCTTGCGGATCAGAGACAAGAGTTGGAGGTCAGTCTGGATGGGCGAGTTGGTTTTAGCGGCGTTGTTGGTTTCGGAGATGAGAGCGCGAAGGACATTCAGCCTAGTAATTGGGACAAAATTCGTCAGCATTAATGCGCGGATAGCACTCGGAGTCTTAGATAAGATTTAGAAGTACCTGGGCGTATCCTTAGCTCGCATGGCAGTCTTGAGATCCGTTCTCAATGCGGTCATCAAAGGCGGCAGAGTCGGACCAGCAGTAGAGTTCCAGCGCACCAGGCGCAGACCCAGACGGGATGTGAGACGCATTGAGGGAAGCATGGTGAAGAATAGAATAGCAGTAACACTCTTCAATGGCACAATGGATGCTGAATGGACTTTGCGGTGTTTGTTGCGGGCATGAAATCATGGGCGGAGGAAAAGCAACGCAAAGGCGGAGAGAGCTTGGGCAGGACCTCACCTCCGGGCCCGTGCACAATTTTGTTTCTCTTCCTGCTCGTTTTACGGCTCAGGCCTGTCATTATTCGGTCTGATCAACAACTCGCCCTCAACCACTCCGGCTGTTCCCGCCTCTGTTCATTGATGTTGCTTTCTCAGACCTTCCCGTCCTCCGTCTCTTCCCTCCGCCCTCTCGATACCATCGTGAATTGATCGTCCTCTTCGCGCCCTTGCGCCGACCGAATCTTCACCTCGCCGGGGAGCGCGACGAATCGCCAAAGCTTCCCACGGGCTTCTCAACCGGCATCATGTCTTATCCAGACCTCACGCCGACCCTCACCCCTCAAAAGCCCTTACCCGGTGCTTACTTTCAGACTCCTGCACCCACCGTGGCTGCGGCCGCGCCTAGTTTCTCGCCAAAGCCTGTCGCGGCCCCCGCGGAGCAACATGTAGCTTCACCGGTTGCGCTTCCCAGACTCCCCCCAGCCACGTTCAAGCCCAAGACTCAGGCCTTGAGCACAGAGGAACGTGCTGCAGGAACAGTTAACGACACTCTTGTTCAAGAAGCCCGTTATCCTGACTTGGATAGCTATCTCTCCCGTGAGTATGCCCCCGTCCGTCGTGACGAGGGGGATCAGATCTAACACTCTTGTGTAGAAGGTATCTCGTCTGACTACGATATACCCGCCTCACCATCATGGGCTCCCTTTCAGAAAGTGAAGATGTACAACATCCCAGATCAGATCTTCGACCAATACAACCGAGCGCAGGTGTCGACAAGCATGGGACTCTTCGCCGAGTTGAACCACGCCTGGGTTGCCATTGACAATGCACTCTACATCTGGGATTATACGCATCCTAACCCTCAGTTAGTTGGTTTTGAAGACCAACCGAACAGCATCAACACGGTCAAGCTGGCGAAACCCCGAGCTGGTGTGTTCTTGCCTTCAATCACGCACATCCTCGTAGTATCGACAACGGCAGACGTCATTTTGCTTGGTATGGGTTGTGAGACTACGGCTGGAGGCGCGCGGCAAGTCACATTATACCAGACGGGCATGTCAACGTCCATTCGTGGCTTGGATATCCATGTCATCGCCTCCTCGGACTCGACCGGTCGCGTCTTCTTCGGTGGCACTTCGGACAATGACGTTTACGAACTCATCTATCAGCAGGAGGAGAAATGGTTCCAAGGTCGTTGCTCGAAGGTCAATCACACTAGCTCTCGTCTATCTGCATTCACGCCGAGCCTGAGCTTTACGCAAAAGTCATTCGAAAATGTGGAGCAGATGGAAATCGACGACACAAGAAAGCTACTGTACACGCTATCATCTTCCTCCACCATTCGCGTCTTCCACATGAAGCCAGATGGCAGCCTTGCTTTGGTGATCACGAAGCCAGCCCTCGACATCTATGCCAATATCGGACACATTATCGCGTCTAATGAGACCCTTAACCCCAAAGTTCCCATTGTTTCCATCAGTCCCATCCCAGCCGCCGAGGCCTCTAGGTACCATTTGATGGCCACAACTGCAACAGGCTATCGCATTTATCTTAGCGCCACCGGCTCCTTCACCTGGTCTTCTGCACCGAACGGCACCAACGCACCTACAAGTATGCAGGCCCATCATGTCAAGACGCCGCCGTATGACGGTGCTTCCGCTGCTCAACTCCCTCCGAGCCTTCAAAACCAACCGCGTTTCCAAACCACAATCACGGCCAGAGTGCCGATCAACACCCTGCAGCCTACCAGATTCACTGTTCGATACCCTCCCGGTTATTTCCTCTGCTTCACATGTAAGGACTCCACGAACAAGTCGGACACACTCTTCATTTCGGCTCCGGATTCGGGGCGCGTTGCTCGCTCTCAGGAGAGCGTTATTCCTGGAAAGGCTGGTGAAACTGCTGTCTGGCTCTCTTTGGGCAGCAGGGCTGAAGACGTGGGTCTCTGCTCTCCTACTACCCCAGCCACGAGCACTCCTGGAGGATTCGGAAACGAACTGGCCGTGCAGTTTGATAATCCGGCGGCTGAGATCGCCATTCTGACCAACACTGGCATCCACGTTATTCGGAGAAGGCGTCTTGTTGATGTCTTCGCGGCGTTGGTGCGTAGTGGTGGTACCGGCGACGAGGGATTGGAGGGCGAAGTCAAGAACTTCATTCGCACCTATGGCCGGAGCGAAACGCTTGCCACCGCTCTTGCAGTCGCTTGCGGTCAGGGTGTTGAAATCTCCTCTGATTCACGACTAACGCAAATCAATGACCCCGATGTCCTGGAGTTTGCACGCAAGGTCTTCATCGAGTACGGTGGCCGACCGACGATGAATGAGAATGCCGTCGCCGATAGCACCACGCTCGCTATTGACGCAGTCGTTCCGTCCCCACGTCATGCAGGCATTGCTCTCTACATCTCTAGGCTGTTGCGGTCGATCTGGAAGAAGGAGATTGCGAAGGCTGGCATTGCCCCCAACGGTGCTCAGACGGTCGCATCTTCCGTTTCTGCTTCCAAATTGCAGGCGGTGCAGAGGGATCTTCTGGCTCTGCAGGAGTTCTTCAAATCGAACAAGAGCTTCATCGAAGGATTGAGCGGCCCTGAAGCTTTGACGCGGGTGTCCACGAAGCAGGAGGAAACTGCCCTGCAGGCGGAGCACCGCGCCCTCCATTCTTTGGTCCAACTTGTATCCCACACGATCGAGGGTATCTCATTTGTCCTGGTTCTTTTCGACGAGCGAGTGGATGAAATCGTGGCATCTCTGCCGGCCGCATCGAAAGAGCGCTTCTTGAAGCTTACCTTTGAGGAGCTCTTCAGTACCAACAAGGGTCATGACATGGCCAAGGAGCTCGTGAAGGGAATCGTCAACCGCAATATTGCAAAGGGCTCTAATGTGGAAACTGTGGCCGACGCTCTCCGACGCCGTTGTGGCAGCTTTTGCAGCGCTGAAGATGTAGTGATCTTCAAGGCCCAGGAGCTTCTGAAGAGAGCTACCGAAGCCGGTTACAACTCGGAACTTGGTCGCAACCTGCTCAATGAAAGCCTTCATTTGTTCCAGCAGGTCTCTGACAACTTGCCCATGGATTACCTGATTTCCGCGGTGGAAAGCTACATTTCCAACCAGTTCTTTGCCGGTATTTTCAACCAGGCCCATTTTACGTTACTTTACTAATGAGGATTATAGGCGCGATCCAGCTTGCTCTCAATGTTGCTGCTCGCTCAGACAAGGCCAACATGGCACTTTCATGGATCGTCGATGGGCGACCAGAGGAGGTAGGTTTCACTCGATTGTCCTGTTTCTACAATCTAGCAAGTTCTAATCTCTTGTTTCAAAGGATACCCGCAAGGACTATTTCTACTACCGGAAGCAATGTTATGACCTCATCTTCAAGGTCATCCTCGCCGTTGACACCCTCGCCGCTCACGATCCCGGCGTTGTTGATGGACAATTGACGATAATTGCCAAGCGCAAAAATGAGGCATATGGTGTCGTTTCCGACTCGACGGATGAAGTATTCTTGACGAGTTTGTACGACTGGTATCTGGAGCAAGGCTGGAGCGATCGACTACTGCAAACCAACTCGCCCTTCGTTGTGACCTACCTTGAGCGTAAATCAGCAGACGACCTTGCTCACGCGGATCTGCTTTGGCGGTACTTTGCTCAGTCGCAGCGGTTCTTTGAGGCAGCCAAGGTACAACTGGATCTGGCTCAGAGCGCGTTCACCCTTCCTCTCAGCCGTCGCATTGAGTACTTGGGCCGAGCCAGGGCCAACGCCTCCACATTCACGCCCGACACTAGCCGACAAGCCCGACAGCGACTGGTGCAGGAAACTTCCAACCTTATTGACATTGCGAACATCCAGGACGATCTCCTGCAACGCCTAAAGGACGACAGACGTCTTGCGCCGGAACGCCGGGCGGAAGTTCTCAAGGATGTGGACGGACCCATCAAGGACATTAGCACTGTACGTCATCAGCCCAACCTCCCCCTAGTCATTTACTTTTCTCTTTTCTTCTTGGCTAACATTTTCCCGCAGCTCTTCAACCAATACGCCGACCCTGCAAGCTACTATGACATCTGTCTCCAGATATTTTTCCTGGCCGACCACCGTAACCCAGCCGATATCCGATCGACCTGGCAACACCTCCTTCAAGACCTGCACGATGAGGTCCTTGAACGGGGTGAGCCCATCCCTTACGAGGCTGTAATCGACAAGGTCCGCAGTTTGGGCAGCCGTCTGCGCATGTCCGAGTCTGTGTTCCCGATCCCCATTCTCCTACCCATGCTCGAGCGCTACGCCCTCGAACACCAGCGTGGTGTCGGTCCTGCAACATGGGTCATTGACCTCTTCCTCGATCTTGGCGTCGCCCACGAGACTCTCTACGCCGTCCTCGAATCCATGTACTACACCGATGAAGCTCCCTTCCAAGGTTCCAACAAGAAGTACATCGCCAAGGATCTTCTCTACCTGATTGAGCACTGGTTCCACGACACGGTCCGTCTCGGCGGCGTCGTCTTCGGAAGCGACCTCGTCGCTGAGCGCATCCTCGAAACCCTCCTTCTCCTCCAGCAGGGTGGTATCACTCCGGAACAAGTCCAGCTGGCACAAGAACTGAGGACGAGAATCGATGATATTCTGCGGTGATTTGTCCGTCTCATTGGTTCCCGAATTTCATCGCTTCCCCACCCCCCTCCTTCACGTATAGCAATGCAACCCAAACTCACTTCGATTATTTTTTGTTCTGTTCTGTTCTAGTCCTGGGCGCTGGAGTTTCGTGTATTTTCTTTCCTTCATTTTTCTTTATTATTTTCAATTTCTTGCATGCATGCAGCATCCAGAGAGTCATGTCGAGTCGAATCAAGTGAAGAGAAGTGAACTGAACTGAAGTG